CACATAAAGAAGACTTCTTCGTCATCTCCCTCGGTGATCGAAAATGAAGAAAAAAATTACTTAAATCAGCATTTGCTGAACTTTCATCACTGCCACCATCCATCTTCTTTCTTAATCATCATTTTTTTTTACCGTTTCTTTCCTAACGTTCAAAATAATCCAAATCAGTGTTACCCACGAGTCAAAGCGCTTCTCAATTCCTGAAAACTAAGCATTAAAAAGTGGCTTGCAAGTCAAGAGTGGTCTACCACAAAGATCTCAGTTTTGTCAAATAAACGGCAAGTGTTGGCAGAAATATTCATATTTGTTTCACTTTGAAGTAAATCAAGCTCATGTGCTACAGGTCGCATGACAATTACATACTGTTTGATGACGTTTATAATCAAAAGGTTGAAACGAGCGATGCCCAGCTCATCATACATTTCACTGACTGTTGACTGAACCCTCTCTTTTCGTTATTACGTTCTCCATACGAACGAGCGCATTGTACATCGAGTTCCACCATGTAGCGCATAGAACAACAAAACATTCACCCAGATCTTGTTGTGTAAGGTCAACTGCAAAGGTGCTGCGGCTCTGTTTGTTCCAAAGTGTCCGAACCTTCACATATACTTATTAGGACACTTTTCTGAACTCAAAGCTACTGGTTGCTACTAAATTGAGTGTGTGTGGCACAAATTGAAATATTCTATTTTAGAACATTAGCTAATGTACATGGCGATGCAGCCTTGCACTACGTGTTGCTTTAAAGGGATGGAGAATGAAAATAAGTAAAAAGAAGTCTGGTTGCCATAGAGAACAAGTTCAATCCTAACGCAACAAGTTCACTACAGCAACTACATCACGTAAAATGTTTGATTGTTTTTCATAAGCAAAATGAGTGTGAATATAGTTTTATACAATATATTATACAAAATTATATAATACTATTATATATTATAATAAACATATAATAATATCAATATACATTATTATTCTATCAATAATATAATATAATATATTACAAATCACGATTTATAATAATATATGTGTCTGGGAAATTTTTAACTGGTTATCTGACATGAAATATAAATTCGCTGGTTCATATGAATATCTTGTATTATTAATTGAAACGTGTTAAGCAAGAAAGGTTTCTGCTAGAGTTGTCCAGTTAAGGAATTTAATAAAACATTTAAAAGTACTTCTAAACTAAATTTTTATATACAAATTACTTAATAAACCTTCTAAGTTAGTATCAAATTAAACTGAACACATAAACAGCTAATATTAAATTTAACAATATTATAAACAAATAAAAAGATCGCTTTTTTATATATATTATGTAGTATTACGGCATGGATAGCCGACAAGCCATCACTTCAAATCAGCTAAATATGTTAGGTAGTATAGGCGAGTCTAATTAAGTCAATAACAATATGCACACAAATACATATACACACACACATACACTTACAAAACTATACACTTTTAGAATGATTATAATTTAATTTTATATTGAAAATGTTGCGAGTAGCACTTTTATAAACAAAAAGCAGAGCGACGCTACCCGTAGTCGCCATAAATATTCAAATGTAGCGCCAATCTAGTAGTCGCCCCTATAAACATAGTAGCACTACATAGAACGCATTCTTTATAGCGACATTACAATGTCATTGAATACATACTAATATCGTTCGTTCTTTTGTCTAATGAAATCGTAAATCTCATACATTTTACATGTCTGTAGAATTGATGTAGTTTATTATGTCTAAGTAGATATCATGAATATTAAGACTAACAAGTAGAACTGAATCGATCGTAGTCAAACTTTCATTTGGAAAATTATTCTAAACTATATTTTCCTAATATTTGTAGATTGACTGTTTGAACTATTGACTGATTTCTGTATGTCGGCACATTTTAATCTTGCTGAGTAGTGAGCATGAAACACTTTTGTTGTAAAGTACAGTTGAGATAGAATACTTGCAATATGTAGTTTATATATTATGTTCTTTCGTGTTATTGATTACTAATATGTTTAATTGTTATGGTATAACCGAATTTCCGATTTGTCAACAAATATATACATCTGAAAGTGCCATGACTTTAGTTCGTACATATCATCGAAAACATGCATATGTACGTAGCTAGGTGTGTGTTACAATACTTTTTAATTCCAGACATTTACTTTCACAGAGATTACATTTTGTGATAAACCTTCAGACTCTCAGCTATCTTGAATATAGGCGAACATGTGATAATTACTCAGACCATGACGACATATAATTAAATATATAGACATTGATGACGTAATCACATATAAGCTGCTACGACGAGCTCATCACCCTATTTATTTATTTGTTTACAGAAACAACCTCCACCATGGCAGTATAATCCTTAGTAAGACCATCATCTGCCCATTGAAACACCTTCCACCTTTGTGAAACCCGTGTAATACAATTAAATATATAAATGAAAACTATAAACAGGATGAGGCAAGTTGAAATCCATATGCAGTCCTATCCACCCATAGAAGCCTTTGTAAAACATATGCAAGAGAAAACCGTAAAGTAAGTGTTAAAATGTGTAAAATAAAATATTTAGTCAAGAACTAAATAAAACCATATAAAACTTATATGAGTAAAGGAATAGCATAAGAATATATTTAATCCATAAAGCCAAACTGGTGAAACGTTAAGATTGTATGTTGAATTATTGCATGATATTTAGAGATGTTATTACGAAAAATTCGTCCTTTTCAGGATGCTAGTCAAATTAAGTAAAATAATATTGATTATTCAATGATCCTACGAACTATGCTAGCATTGTCTTTAGTAGCATCATCCGAATATAGAACCTTAGTAATACTATCCGCCTATAGTACCTTAGTAAGATCATCGACTTAGTAACACCATCCACTCATATGTACGTGAAAACTACAAAGTAACTATCAACATGTGGAAAATGAATGTTTTACTAAAAACTCATTTAGTGCTTTGCTAAACCAATAAAAAATAGGCTATATAATTAAATTTAGACATTGATGTTGTAATGACAAATTCAAACACGTTGATACACTTTATAATAAGCTCATCTGTCTATAGTTACACTATCCACCTATAGAAACACCATCCACATTTATAAAACGTACTCAATATTTAAGGAAAAACCATAAAATAGATAAGATTAAAAAGGCAGTTTGAATGTTTTACTTGTGATAAGTATAAACACAATGTTATGTAAATTTGATTAAATTATTAATTTTAAAACTTTGATTGTTACTATAAAGTTGATATCCATTGATTTACATCACCCTCTAGCAGTTCGCTTAATGCGCCCTAGCAACACGCCCACTGGCGGTAGGCAACATCCGTCGTCAAATGTGATGGCGACTTAGCAACATACCCCTAGTTATTCGCGCTCTCTGGTTTCACTTTGTGAAACTATGACGGTATCGTTTCTAGTCCCTCTCCTTCCGCTAAGACAGTAAATCAGAGGGCATGTCTGAACACGCGCTCTTACTAATGTCGTTAGCTAATGTATTCATTGTGCTACCATGAAAGACAATGGTTGAAGGAATGTCCAAAAAGATTCAAACCTGTATACTATCAAAGTATGTCGATGACCCTTTTGTCATATTTAATTAAGTGGAACATGTAAATCGTCTCTGTGAATAAGTAGATATTATATTAATAATATTCATGGTAGGAAGGCTTGCTTGCTTGTGCTTGTTTTGAATTTCACGCAATACTACACGAGGGTTATCCGTCCCTAATTTAGCAGTGAAAGACTAGAGCCAACTCTTGGTCTACTCTTTTACCAAAGAATAGGGGATTGACATTATAACGCCCCCACGGCTGAAAAGGCGAGCATGTTTGGTGAGATGGGGATTTGAACCCGCGACCCTCAGATTTCAGGTCAAACAGCCTAACCATCTGGCCATGTCTAGCCTGGTAGGAATGCAAGTTTTATGCGTAAAAACATTAATCATTTATTTACATAACTTCCGACTTAAAAGTGGGTACTCCATTCATATTAGTACGTAGCTTTGCTAGAAACAAATATATGCTTACGTGTTCTAATTAAAAGTTACATTAATAAATATTGTTAAATATGTTATAACTGATATGTTGTAACTTACCACAGCACGTATAATCCAAACATATATAGCTTTATGAAAAAAATGAAAAAAACAATGTTACTACCATAATTTTTCTCATTTTCGTGTGGTCTGATGTGTGCAACTACTTATTGGTCTTAAGAAACACTTCTATGGTGAGTTTATCGATTTTCCATTAGACATGCGTTTGAAATAGTTGATAATGTCCTTATCGACAATTAAGTGAAACCTTGAACCGTTAGAAAAACTTATCAGGAACGATAAAGCGGACTACCGTACACTCTGTACACGTTCAGCATTCCTATAGTTCATTGTTTTCAGATGATAGCCTAAAGGTAAGGCAGTTAATGAACACAACCCACCGCCAACTCTTGGACTACTCTTTATAAACGAAAATTTATAATGACCGTCACATTATAACGCTCTCATGGCTGAAAGGGCCAAAATGTGAGTTGATGGGAATCGATATTATAACAAGAAACAACTACAATGTTTTGTTATAAAGAAAAACATACTAATATAAAGTGGTAACATAGACGTTACACAGTTCTATAACACAAAAGTTTGAGTGAGATTAACAATTACAACAGAGCTGGAGACGGCTTAAAAGGGTAATGAAGAAAAACTTTAATATAAGTTTAACATGACAGCAAATGTACAACGTTTCGACAAGGTTTTGTCATCATCAGTTAAGTTTACCACAAGAAGCAATAAATATAATATGTTTACTGGACTTTGTTTTCTACATTTCTACAAATGTTGATATCACGATAAATGTTTTTGGGAAATGAAAAGCTTCCTCGATAGCATGACAAATAATTTCATAAGCTAAACATAATAAAGTAACAATGTAGCTGCATTATAGATATTAGTAAGTACAAAAACTTTTGCTTTTAAATACCTCTTATCAATTCTTCCGTGAACTTTAGAATGAAAGAATTCTATTCAACCTCTTTTCAACGTACCAGTCCTTGGAAATACTCGACCAACAGCTTGAAAATGATAGAGCTCTTAAGAAACACGCCAAACAGTAATAGAACTTGCAACTTTCTGCGTCAACATAACTTACTTGCAATTTGAAGATACTTATAATCAACAACAAGAAGGCCAAGCTAGCTATTGGCTCAACCTTATCAATCAGTTGTCACTAACCTCTACTCGGAACAATTAGAAGTTAACGCTCTCAAAACGCCTAAAGATTTGGCTCAGATAGGTTAATGGCACATCTGTTATATGGTGAACACACTATAGAAAATACTAAAGAATTCGTGAACCGTCTGAATAAAATTGACAATAAAAATATAACGAATCCCTATTTTCTGACCATATGCCACAAATGTTTACAGGAAATCCACAAATTCGAGTAAATATCTTGATTATAGATCATTTTAACAGTGTAAAAATGGGCATTATGAATGTTTTTAGAATGAACAATATTTTTAATTTCGCTACAGTCCTCCTTAAAAGTGGAAACCCGGAATACTTAATAAAGAAGGAAATAAATAATATAATCCCAAGAATAGACACGGATGAAATTACAGACACATAGACATTTTTCCCTATATGAGAAATCACTCTGAAAATATATAGGCAAATAAACAACACAGAGTCAGAATAGCACTTAGAAGTCAAAACATACTACGATACACACCAAAGACACATGGAGAGTGAAAACACCACTTGCAGCATTTTGGAGAAACGAAAAGATCAACAAAGGTTCGAATTCAGGAGCGTAATAAACATATACAAGACTCGATAATATTAATCTATCTGCAATAGTAAATTGGAATGATACTAAAATAATGGGGTATGAGCTACACATGAGAATTTTAAAGATAATAGATGCCTTTTAGATCCACCAACTGACAAAATTCTCAGCCAACTTAACATAGAACTCAACTTGGATACCTCTTTTGAAAACATTCAAACAGCTAGACGATTCAAGTTCTACACCGAGGATCGAGTTCCAGTTACTACTAACACAGTAATAGTCCTTCTCAGACTTGTCTGATAAAAGCAGTAGATTCACAGCAGAAACATAGTTTGGTTGTTAGATTTCTCGTAAATTTACACGAGTTGTGTCTGTACTAGCCGTCTCTAGTGTCGAAGTTATAGACTAGCCAGAAGGCAGATAGACAACACCTTCCACTAAAATCTCTTGTCAGACTGAATAATTGAATGTGTCCACGGCCCGAAAGTGCAGAGCGCGATCTTTTCCTAGCGGTAACGGGATGAGAACCACGGAATCTTTGTTTCACTGTCCTACACGATTATCATTAAATAAGGTGAAAAATATTTAGTAATTATTTTATATTTGCAAAATATGTATATATATATAAGAACTTGATACTACTACTAAAGATAAAGTTTAAAGATAAAGAATTGATTTCATGATTATATTTAGACATCGTAGATATATTAGGAGGCTTCATAAACATATTAACAGAAAATAGAACTTGCAAGAAACATCAAAGTACTTGGACAAAATGGAGCAACTATACTGGGCTACTATAATACAAAATATAAAATGTGTGTTAAATCAATCAATATATTTAATGAATCAACTTAGATGGATAGAAAACACGGAAATATATTATCAAGAGTTATAGATACAGAGTTTGAGATTATAAAATAATACACACCAGATAAAGCTAAATATAAAAATCTAGAAAATAATTAGCAAGATTAACTCGAGCATTAGAAATAATTGTAAGTAAAAATTTTAAACTCTATATTTCTTACAACTTTAGTGGTTGAGAAGAAACGTGAACTTTGTAATAGAGCTTACTCTTTTCAATTACATTAATAAATTGTCCTGAATCTAATAGTTAATGGTAAATTTTTATTTCTTGTATTAGTTTGAAAACACTTGGTTATATTTTTTTGTTATGGAAAGAGTGTGTAATATAGATTTTATAATTAACTAGATAGTTTTTATATGCTGTTTTATATCTGTTTGCTGATAATGGCAGGAGACGGCTTGAATGGCTAATGAAGAAAAAAATTTAATATAAGTTTAGCATAACAGCAAATGTACAACGTTT